TCTGCGGCGATCAGGTGGTAGCTGCGGCGGCGGCGGCGGCAGCGGCGGCGCCGGTCGTCATAGCGTCCGTGGCTATCGCGTCACGCGCGCGCGAGACGGACTCTTGCGGGCGGGTGGCCGGTTTTCCCGGTCGGGTTTAAATTAATTTTTTCGCCTCGTTTTTCGCGAAAACGAGTCGACGGACCGAACTGTGCCAAATGTCGCCGTGACTTTCGTGCGTATATTATATTATTATTATTATTATTATTATTATATGGAAGGCGATGGAAATCCGACCGAGAGCGTATGGTTTATTTATTATTTCACTATAATCGAGTTTTTGGTTATAATTTGTTTTTGTTTCCTCCGGACCTCCACTACACTGCTTGCATTCCGACTCGGGCTGCACGACTCGCGAGCGATGATTATTAATATTTTTACTATAATATAATTATAACATTTTATACTCGGGCGTGCAGCGTACTTTGAACAGCAGCAGCAGCAGCAGCAGCAGCAGTAGTAGTAGTGGCGGTGGCGGTGGCGGTGGCGGTGACTGGTGGTGCGATATTGGCGGCTGCGTTAGCTGTGCCGCGGACGCGGCGCGCGCGTTCGACTCGCCGCGATCCGTCACCGGTCCGATATTGATCCGCGAGCGCGCACGCCGCCGCCACCGCCTTTGGCCCGATTATCGTGTATGCGCGTTTTTTTACTATGTTTTTTTTTTTTTGCTTGCCGTCGCTGTTTTATTTCACCGTCGGCCCACCGTGACGTGCATCGTTTTGGCGCTCGTCGTCACAAAAACGTGTAAACGATTGTAATAAAATAATATTTACGAGTATACAATCGTGGTGTTGTGCACAGAAAACCGTGCGTGGATTTCGTTAAGTTTGACGTACGTATGCGCGCACCGCCATCCCACCGTACCTATAAACAATATTATAACATTTGCAGTTTGGCGCGCACCGTATGTACCTAACACAGTTGCGCGTAAGTGGCCAATCGAAACGAGAACGGGCCCGTAAGCGCAGTCTATATAGAAGCCGTCCGTAAACGAATTAATTTTCTTTTTGTACTCATATAGTCATATTTTATAATAATACGATATTACGAAACATTCACAGAGACGAGTCCACAGAAGACGACATTTCTGAAAATCTATAAAATATACTCCTCATCTCGGATATACAATTACGTGATCTCGTTTAATATCGCACTATTAAGGCTGAGGACTTTAGGAGTAGAGAACATTTTAATCATAGTCCTAAAAATTCACAAAATAAGCAAAACACCTATATTCACTTAAAAACCCTAAAATATTCAATAAAAACATAGACAAAATATTTTTTTTTCTAGCAGCTCGATTAATAAATACCTAAGTAATGAAAATCTGAAATAGAAACGACATCAAATAAGTTACGGACAACGTAGGCACCCAAGTCGGAATACGAGTGTAAGCTAAAATACTCAATCAACTGGCTTAATCCCACTACCACTTCAGCTGTCAGCAGAGGCTTCATCAAATAGATAATCAAATGGTATAACAAATTAAGAACTGATTGTCGATAAAAGTTAATGAAAAAAATGATCAAAAATAACAATAAATATGCCTCAAAAAGCAAAAATAGCTAAATATGCAACATACAAAAACACATCATTGGCTTTGTAGTAACAAGGAAAAAATTGTTTCTTGCTGGCCTTTTTTGTCCGATTGCGCACAAAAAATATACAAATATTAAAAATCCTCTGCACTAGTCATATTATTTTTATATAAACTTTTATTTTCTATTGGAAACTGCGTTCGATGGATTCGTATGACTCATAAGGATGTAGCCACATGGCCATTATTCGTATTATAATTATATAGGGTATAATAATGGTATAATTTATAATCTGCTTGTCATTTATCTCACCTTCATTCGTATTATAAATATATAGGGTATAATAATGGTAATATTTATAATCCGTTTGTCATTTATCTCACCTAGCCTCTAGACATACTGAAGACACAAATATCTACACAATATACCTCCAAACAGTTCAAACTACAAATTACAATAGTATTTCGTTACAAGCTACTTACAGAATGATTGCAATTTTTGAAAACATTTTGACGCCCCTCCCCCATCTCTCAAAAAACTTACCTTTTCATTTATTAGCTGTATATAAATACATTGTACAATACACAATTATATATTTAAGATCCAGTACTGAATGATTAGCTTATGATTTATAGTCATGAAGACGCGATGCTAAAATAATTAAGAAGTCTAATAAATACTAAAAATTTAATTTAAATTTAACATTACTACCATTTGAATTAAAAAATTTGGTTTGAAAATGGTAATTTTTACTTTTAAGGGGGCTGGTGATACCTGTTACTGGCCCTTTTCGTGTACTTTTATGTACTTTTCATTTTGAGGGGGAAAAAGAATCGAGTGCATTTCAAAACTAGGCTTGAACGTTCGTGCTTATGCCTCGCTAAATATTCTCGTATTAAATTTACGTTTAAGATTGTGTATATGAGTTAAATGTGTATTGCGCGGAAAAGGTGTAGGGGTTTCTGGAAGTATTAGTAGTATTACTGTACCCTTTGCGGATAATAATATTTTATATTTACCATAATGTTGTTTGACCACGACATTTATTTACTTATTATACACATATTAAATACCTACCTACCTAGATAGTACTTTATGTTTAAAAAATTAATTCGTCTTTATTTCTACATCACGAAACATAACAATTTTTATGCAATTAAATAATATAAATTTTGAAACCAATTTAAAATTTTCCTATTTTTTGATCGAACTCGTGGCCCCAAATCTAAGTAATAACCATTGAACTATATAATATAGTTCAATGGTAATAACCACGAAGCTCTGGAACTCCCCCCTCCCCATTACGGACGGCCTTGAACTGTGATAATGTGATATTCTACTTAATCTATTCGGTAAATTTATATGGCCGTATCATATAATATATTATTATACATTTTATTGTTATTATACAATAAGCATGGCGCGTTTATAGTTGTGTACACGTTAGATTGTTGCCACTCGTCTGAATGACAATAAAACATAATCCGTTCGTTAATAATTATTATTGTCCCCACGGTGCCTGGCCCGGGTCACATTATATTATAATTTAAATTGCAATATATTATAGGTATATGCAAACCGTTTATACCGGATACGACTTGACAGTAAGATCTACGTACAACGCTGTTCGTTTTTTTTCAACTTATTTCTTGCAGTCAATCATTTTTGAAATAACAACTTAAAAATTAAATTTTAAACACCTATATTATGCATTCATTTTTTCCCCTTTTGAAAACTGTTTTATGTATTAGACCTTCAATTCTATACGTGTATGATGTATGTTATATACACCTATATTATAGCCTATAGGTAATACAGTGTGTATTATAATAGGTATTCCTGTCCTCGTTCATTATTTACAAAAATAATACAAACTTCAAAATTCAAAATTCGATTTATCCAACTCGGACACCAATATACGCAATTGTAATTTCAAATTCTCAGAGAGATCAATAATGTAGTTCAAACATAACGTTCTTCAAATGTAATAATGCAGTTGTATGCGTTTTACGGAATAATATCATCGGATTTAAGCCTATATAGTTGAATTTATTACTTACAAATGTTGACCGTCTGAAATCTAGATATTTATATTATGTACTATTTATGCGTAAGTAGGTATGGTTTATGCACACACTTCATTATATTTTTATTTTCATGAAATTTAACATGATCGCATATAAATGTTATGACCGTGGCCATATCTAATCCTTTTATACGCGTAGGTTGTAGGTAGTAGGTATACGGTATACCCGTGTATGTTTACGGTAAATAACGATAAGTCTTCTATATCTATTGAATACAGTTATAAATCAGTCGCATAAACGTTAGTAATAATATGATTTATCATATTGTCAAACTAAAAAATGTATCCTATATATAGCCATATAATATAATACATATTTTATCTTTCGGTTCTACAACATGAAGCCTCATCAAATAATTTTATCTTTTTCGAAACTTACCTTTTGTAAAATATGTTGATGTGTTACCTAGTGACATTACACATATTGGTTTAAAAATGTACTCCCTCCATACACGAGATGCAAAATATAATAACAAACCGTATATGTATAATTCCCATAGACGTGCGCACGGTTGCATGCTGCAGAAGGTTTGTGCGTCTGCAAAATTTTTTAGCGATGCATACGTCATAGCCGCTTAGTCACAGACGGCGGCCTGCATCCCGAGAGAAATAATTTCTATAGATTATTTAATATATATATAATATAAGGAGATAAAATGGATCTGAACCAATTTTACATTTAAAATAATACATTGATACTTTGCAGAAAAAATCGTACTTATAGGTTACAGCAAATAGGTCAAAATTACCAATTATATTTACATATAGCCACCATAGTGGCATAGTAATAATAACTCATGTATCATACAAATATTAATAAAATTGTTGCTGTTCAAAATGTATTTGGCCTTTTGTAATGAGCCGCTTAATTCTGTATGCTACATCTGCAATTTAAGTTTCCGCACGCCTATAGAATATTCCCCAAATGTATAAGGTACCTATGGCATTTTAGTTTTATAATAATATAATATATCATATCATCATAAATTATCCGATGTGCGTTGTAACTTTAATTATCTTATTTATATCACATACCTACGATGAAAATATGATAAGTAGGTAAACAGGCAAATACAAATATTTTAGATTATATCTACAATGTTTAACAACTACACACATAAACATATAGGTAATATTAATGTTAAAATAAGCGAGTATATATTAAATATTTATATAGGAAGTGGTAGTCACATGAATATTGTGTATTATATAGTTATGTATACACAATTGTATGGATTATACAAATTAAAACAGGTGTGCATAATCTAAATAAATATCTATAGAGTATCATTAATTATAAATATATTTTTAAGTATTATATTAGTATTTATAATCAATATCAATGATATTAAGTTGTAAATTATAATTATTGTTAGTTATAGCTAATGGTGCCGTTGTTTATTGTGGTATCATCAGTTTTATCTTTAATGTGAAACAAATGGTGTTTAATAATCAACATTAAATCTTCCAGTTTAATGGTATCATCTTTGTCGTTTATAATGCCCAATGACTTGATCAAGTTAGTCTGTATAACAAAACGAAAACGCAATATTAATATTGATTTATTATTTTCATGATATAATTTACCAGGGGTGCTTGAATTTAATGTTTTAAGAAACCATTAAATTAATTTGAACTTATAAACTCAAAATTAGTGAAATATGCACTCAAAGTATAAATAAATATGCACAATTATGCAAAATTAACTTCATAAAATAAAAACAAAAATTATATTATTTATGTATTTGCGACTTAACGGATACGCCAGTAAATAATATTCTAAAAAAATGTATATTATGATTTATAAATAAAGAATATAAATTCTTAAAAATTAATAAAATATAGATAAACTTCAAGAAAAAATTTTTTTTTAATCATTGAAAAATATACTTTTATTCTTAGGTACTTGACAATTTATAAATATTCTTGGTTGGTATAACTATATAAACAATCAAATCCATATTTGTTTCACCAATAGTATCCAATAAAATCGTTAACAAAATGCTGTTATAATATGTACTTTGGACTAAAATATACGAAGTAAAATTTTGGATTTAGAATGGGTATATCTCGAATCAAATTTGCAACTCCCTTACTTCATTTGAATTTGCAAAAAAATTCCTTGGTATTCAAAATCATTAAATTCATAGCCGTGTTTATCGCCAAGAGTTCAAAGTAAACATGATTTATATATATTGTATAATTTGTATAAAATTATTTATTAGTTTATTACCTTCTTTGATGTCCCAATACATTCCAAAAATTTAATATACTCTTCTTTTGAAATATCTCCATCCTGGTCTTTGTCAACAGCCTGTGTGGAAAGTGAAACTTTCAATTATTTTTGCAATAATACTTTAAATAAATCAAAATAGATTTTCTACCATTACAAACATCTCTATACAAAAATTCACTTACTTAAAAACCTAAGGCAAACTGCATTGATAAATGATAGATGTAATGCAAATTACTAAAATATTTATGTCATTTAGTTGTATTAATCTACATACGACATGCTAAACATAATAAGTAGTTTATAGTACGACGTATACTTGACTATCCTTCAATAATATTCAAAAGAATAATTTATAAAAAATATTCAGTGTAGATAATTTCAAGATAAACCAAATTGTATTCTTAAACATTTTATAATATAAGTAATTATATAAAAATATATAGTTGTAGTTTGAAGATAATTAAAAATTGAAATTGAACAAATCATTTTTAAAGATATAGATGATAAAAATATTTAATTTAATCGATATCTAATACATACATACATTTTATTAAATTAATATATTTTAATTAAGTATTTGTAATTACGTATAATTTGTATAATCGAATAAATTATTATACTATTATAGTTTAGAATATGCAGGAATTATAACTAATACTTAAAATATTCAACAAAAAATATTAGTGAGAGTATCATCAGTACGTAGTTGTCAGTACGAAATGTTTAATAATATACGTATACAATATACTATAGGTCAATATAGTAAATAATTATATATTCTAGAATCTAGAACCTAGATACTTCAGAGTGCAGGAACATTGGGTTTTTCTAATATTTTGTGATAAAAATGGAAGGGAATACAGTACACACAAATAACCGCGGGATCCAGGGAGAATAAAAAACAGTGCGTCTATGTGAACTTAAATAGTAAATTAAATTCATAGAAAAATAATTAAATGTAGTGTAATTACTGATTAAAAATTACAATTTAGGTCGTTATTTGTATACATTTAAAATTGGCAATAAATTAATGGAATAAAGATGAGCCCATTATGGAGTAAATATGTACTAATTTTCCACCTAAAAAAATTTTTTTGGAAAACCACTGGCGTGCTTTGGAGAACATTTTTGGAAGGGAACCATTTAATAAATATTGTTTACCCGTGATGTCTAAAAATATAGTGAGGGTGAAAGTGACGTCCTTCTACGGCTCGAATAGTTTTCCAATAATGTATAATATAATCACTTATGTAAATGCTATGTTTAAACTACTATAATTATAATAAGTTTGAACTTCAAATAATTCTGCATGGCTGTAATTTCGTAAATATTGAATAACCATAAGTTCAAAATATACATAAATAATCATTTAGATAATATACTGTGGTCTGTGGAAAATTAGTTTAGGTATATGTTACATTATGCATACGTCAAAAAGCGCGGGGCATAATCAACCTCAGGGCCCGAGGCGAAGGATAATAATTGAGGGGCAATAATGGAGATGACGGGCGCAGTACCTATATTAAGATATTTTACTTATTAATTCTGTACCTTAAACAAGTATGGCAATAGTTGAACAACTTCATCCTCCAGACCTGCATCGTTTTGTTTCATGTACTGGACGTACTTCAAATATTTCTCTACCGTAACGTAATCGAACGGATCAATGCATCCCCAATGTTTGTACCATAAGTTCTGTGATTAAATATTTAAATATATTACGTGTAAAATGCAAATATGATATCAGCTAAATCACATTTAAAAAATATCTGGCGGCTTTCCATTCTAATGTGCTCAGAACAGATATTTATAGTAATAAAATATATTATGACTAAATAATGTATTATAAATATATTATGATTTATGAATACATAAATACGAGTACATTGCATACATTATAATATTATATTATTATAATATATAAAATATTATACATTAGACAGGCCACGGGCAGCTCATTTTTAACTACTCGCTCCTGCGTGTTTTATCCTTTATAATGTACCTAATGAATTTATTTATCCACAATCTGATTTTTGTAATTTTCAAGTATGCTTAAAGACCATATTTGCTGCAAATGCATTTAAGGAGTATCCCGCGGCTGTATACAACTATTATCTTTTAAATAACAATCACCGTTTTATTACGTACTTTTTTGTTAGGCAAGTATACTCTTTTTATTTCACTTTGTATATATTATAATTTATAATTTTTGAATAGACATTGGAACTTTATATTCTGAGGACAATAGACATGTAGAATGATTTTTTTTACATAAAACATACAATACAATTTAATATTAAGTATTTAAGTCTAGTACCTACCTACCTACTTACTATACTTGGAAAATGTTGATAAACTTAGGTATATTGGTTACTATCATTTTCAAATCACCATAGCCCCAAAATACAGGATTGGGCCAGTAATAATATCATAAAATAGCAAGCAAGAAATAGCCTAGCAGTACATGATGATTAAAAATATTATATGTATAACCATTAGGTTAAGTAGTAATTTTAAAATCATTATAGTCGTACTTCAATGACTCTGCTGAACATAAAACTTTGTTCGTCCGTCATGTCGTTGAGTTTTGAAAAACGTTTAGTCAGTTCCTTTAAATCTTCGATGGATACAACACCGTCATTGTTTACGTCCAACAGCTCGTGATAAAGAGTCAAATTTGATACACATTTACTGTCCAGTTCCTATTAAAAAGTTGAAGATGAATAAAAATCACATTTATTTAAAAAACCGAAGTATGTAATAATATGTATGTTATGTATGGTATATTTACTATTCAGCAGGGGTGCAAATTATTATCTAGAGTAAAATATTGGAGTAGTAGGTAGTGATGGATTAGTGCCTCAGTGATCGGCTTAGAAATAATATTTTCCCCATATGACCTATTACTCCATTTAGTTAATGTGTTAAAAATGAATTTTTATTAAAAATCTTTTAATATTATGCAATATTGCATAATTTTTGTTATATAGTGTGATACTGAGTTGTAAGTTTAAAATGTATGTTTCGTTATTATATTTTATTTTACATTAATTCAAGCATTTATAACTACAATGTCTAAAATAATATTTAATACTATTATCGTTATTAACTATCTATAATATTTTTTTGTACAATATATTCACTTTTGGTTTTGTATATTTGTGTAAAAATTCCATTAAAGTTTAACCAATTTCCGTTTTATAAAAATAGTATTACATATAGGTACTCACTTATAAATTATAATAAGAATTAAGAGTCCACAATTATCTAATCACTCATGTCTGTCTCATACAATATATAGTAAGTATAAGTAGTAAAACTGACCACCGTGTTAAATTATTTTATTGATTATAGCTACATGGTTAATATAATTATGATGGATGGTGTCTCCATGCGTGGGTTAAAGGGAACAATAAGTCAATTTAGCCATTAGATTATTATATATTAGAGTATAGAAAAACATTTTCTACGTACTTTTCATTATCATAATACTTAATTTTTGTATTTTTTCTTAACTACAATTATCTGTAAAAAATCAAAAAGCCATTACAGACCATACAGAAATGTAACTATTTTCCGTTTCCTAAAATATAGTGATTTTGACTTATTGCTTTTTACCCGCACACCATCAATATAATACAAGTACTAAGTACGAGTATGTATGCAATATTGCGATTTATGATATCACCATGCAACATGTAATACAAATATATTACAGTTTAATTTGTAATTCGGTTACAGAATTTTTAATTTTAATTTTTAGGTTATTAAAACTTCTTATAAATTAAAACAATAAAAAAAACCTCAAATTCCTACCAAATACAGATTATATTGTTAATTACTGGTCGCAGAATTTTGAAGATTGAATGAAATACTGTGAGCAGTTTTATTATAATGTACTACATTATATTGTGAGTAGGATAAATACAAGTTTTTTTTTTGTATAATTATTAAAGCAGGATAAATTTCAATCTCCTGGCACCGATCCTCGGGTCACAAAAAGGGGGATGGACATTATAGGGATGGAAACAAGCGTAATTAGATCTTAAAGTTAGGGGGCTTCAGCCCTAGCATTTTTATAGTGAAAAAATTAAGGCGGAGGCTACGCCCCCACATCCCCCAAAACACATTATATTAATTAAAAATAAATGTGCGATTAATATTCTATTTCATTATTATAGTGTGTTGTGTGTGTGTATAAAAATCTTAAATATATCAATCTTAAAAATTGGAAAGAAAAAGTAAAAATTAAATTATTAAAATATATTATGTGAGTTTTAAAATTATTCAAGTTCTTAGTTTAATTTTTTTTAAATATAAGTGAAAGTTAAAGAATTTATGTGGAGTCGTGGGGAACATTATAATAACAAACTAGTCAATACAGTTTAAGCCTCCTCTCGGCATCAGCAAATATTTTTAAAATTCCTTCTTTGTTTAAAACATTTGATTAATCTCTTTAAGTAGCCATAATTAACAACTTAGAGGATCTATCTGACATTACTGAAAATTTTGTTGGAACTTGCTGGAACAAAAAATGATAACTGTAACATTTTATATAAATTTGGAAACAGATTTTTGAACAATACTGTCTGGCCGCTTTTAATTCCCCTGATAAATGATAATTGTTAATATTTTCTAATAATTGATTATCTAACCCAAATTTTTGATTTTAATTCAGTTTCAATTATTTTATATTTTGTTAATCCCGAAAACATAAGAAAACAAAATATAACAAATGTATTATAATAATAATAGTGACGTTAACCAGAAATCAAAATACGAATTATCAGACACAATCACACAACCGTTGATGTACTTATAAAGGTAGAAAAATAATGATAATATAGTAAAATAATATAAAATCTGATTCTGTTTTTAGAAAGATCCTAATGAGCGATCGCCAGGCACTGCGATCGTGGTCCGATATTATATAATCATCATTTTTACATTAATGTAACAAAAATAAAATGATGAGTCTATTCTTCTGGGTGATGACTGTTTTTGTGTGTACAACTTTTCATTATGTAGTAATAACTACAATATATGATACGTCATATACAGGGTCAACACACATATAATGATTATATAGTTTGCCAATAACAAAAAAAAATTGCCCAAATGTTCATAAAAAATTTAAATGGTTTTTATATTGCAATTTATAAATGTAGCTACTGTTAGTGAAAGTATAGGAATTATGACGGGGTGAGGGGGGCTTAGCTTAAAATAAATATTAGGGGCGCTTAGCTGAGGTAATAACTATATTTTCGAGTTTTATTTTAGTTCACTTTATCATAGTATTATTTTAATAAGCTAAGACTAATTACTTTTAGACACACCTGACTTCGCGTAAACTTTAATTGTGTATACCCTTTACTAAATAAATAAGTCATAAACTTATAAATAATGCATTTTAATTTATGTCACTACAAGTAATTGATTATTTGAAAAAAAAGAAATAAGTTTCTGTACCCCTGCAGTACAGCGGTAACGATGCATAGGTACAACGAAAATGATAGTTAAGTATATTTTATTATTCCGAGGCTCTATTAAAGTATTAGTAGAATATTTTTACTGTTTACTGTTTTGCTAGTATCTACATACATAATATATATTATATATTATATTGAGGTAAGTACCTATCCACTAAATGAAGTTAATAGTTATCGATTACTGTAGTAATTTCGATAAAGTATTATTCTTACTGTGGTAGTATTTTTCTTTTGTGAACATTGCTCATTCTCGAATAATTTTCTGCTTATTAAAAACTTATTTCCATTGTAAACAGTTTTCACACAGTAATTGGCTGCGGCAGGTCTCTTCTATATAGGTGTGAAAAAAACAATTGCAGTATAAAATAAAAGTAATTAAAGCGCATAAATGAAAACTAATTACAAAAATTACAAAATTGTTTAGGTACTCTACTGTAGATATAAACTATCAGTGGCATACTAAGGTCATTTTGGGATTGTTTCTAATCTATTAACTGGGTTACCTTATCTGTCCAAAAAAAAAGGCATTTCAGGAAAAAAAACTACAGAATAAATTACGCCCCTGTATACTACGTATATTACTATATACTATATAGCTTCGTGGTTTGTACATCACTATATGGATACTGTATCTATAACTACTATAAGCACAATGGCACAGGGTATCTCTCTGCGTATTTGTTCACTCGATGAATTTTTTATTAGTAAAATGTATTATTTTGAGACTATATTTTATAATTTGAATTACTATTTTCTATTAGGCTTTTCAATAATTAGACAAAATATATAAGCAGGTGTAATAACTAAGAGGCGAATAGACTACCTATAAAGTATAAAAATATAACATAGAACATAGTATTAATATGTACCTATTTAGCGGGAGGGTAACGAGTACAAACACTGGAGCTCATGACACTCTTCATTGTATTGTTATGTACATAATATTGTAATAGGTACGTAGGTCGGTGTATAATATCATGACTCATAAAATGACACTATTGTTATGTTTTATATTTTCTACTCCATTGTAATCGGCGATATAGAAGTCTTATACTCGTATAATGTCGTGCGTTTGGCTGTTAACACATATTTGAATGGTGCTTATAGATGAATAGATGATAGGATCCCTATTTAAAAAGTTAAAAGCTCGAACAACTAAACCAAAAAAATTTGGGGGATTAATTTTTACACAAATAACTTATTGATATTATCGTATATTATACTATGTGTTGTACATGTTAAAAACATACATATTTTATACAATTATACAGCGTAGGTAATAAATGTAATCTGTCGAACGGTATTGTATACCTAATGTATTTGCAGTTGATTTATAGAACGGTTGACACATCATCGACCTTCACGTTATTTAAATTTGTAGGGAATAGCTATTGCCGATATTGGGCACCTATATATTATACAATAATATATTATATTAGTTAAAAGCGCGAAAAGTAAGAAAATCACATCAAAATGATCAGCACACGACTCTGTAATATCCGGTCAGACCAACTGTTTAATAAGATATATGTAATACTGGGGGAAAAGAATAAATCCTATTTAAATGCTAATAGCGATTCAGTAAGATAAACGGCTGAAATCGAACCGTGGCCGTCGTGTATAGGTATAGATACTAGCGTCGATGAAAACGCATTCGATTTAAAACATATACGATATACGACAATGACTGTAAAATACCTAATACCGTAACCTTGAGAAGGAATCTGCTCAAATTCGATTTTTGGGAAAACGCTCACGGACAGACGGAAATAGTGCAAATGTGCAATACTTAATATTGTGAAAACCGCCAAAGATGCAACGAGGGAGCTGTAGATTTTCACAGTGGTAATTTGTCACGATATCGTGTTTCAGATAATTTATCATTTCCTCCACACCGTGGATCACAAAGCCCATTATTGAGTGCCGGTTTCCAGCCGCGGCAGGAGGCAGCCTCGGTGAAAATCTATTAAGTACCTACCTTTATATTTCATAATATAACATTATATAAACCTACCTACCGCCCACATACACCAAAATAACATGCGGGAAGGCTTATTTGTTGTTTTTTTTTTACGATATTTGTTCATAAAATATTTTATACTTGGGAGGGTTACAAACACAATATAATAAGTGAAACATCTGATGTAAGTAGAATGCAAGTGATGAATTCAACACGGTGAATTATAATATATAGGTAATACTATTTGCAAGAGCAGTGGCGTATTTTGGTGATGCATCACAGGCATTGAATTGGCCCTCTCCCTCCTGCAGAATTGATTTTTTTTTATTGATTTTTATTATATCAATGATAATTAAGCTGTCAGAATAAGTCAAATAAGCATTGAAAAATTTTATGAGATCGAGGGTGTAAAAATGAACCTAAATATTTTGAAAATTATGTTCTGTCCGCGATCCACCCATATCTTGAATTAATAGTAATTGTTGGTAAAAAATTCGAGTGAATGTTCCCACACGAGATATAGCAGGTAAAAAAAAATCACCCACATGTGTGCACTATGCGTACGTAAGTTCCCTCACGAAAAAAAATGTAATGAATACAAACTGTCATCTCGCTTTATTTAGGTTTATCAGTTAGGATTGACAACTTAATAGTTGGTGTAGTTAAAATTTGTTTGTTTTTGTAATGCAAAAAAAGGACTAATCATTTAATTGAATCCTTTCCATATAATATATACATATAATGTGTAGTTATAGACGTATAGTCCACGTATTATTCGTGAATTGAATTAGAATTTTTTTTTTTTTATTAATTCTCAAAGCCCGGCGACTATGGCCATGAGCTTGAAAAAAAATTATTTTCAAGCAACACAAAAACAAATGAATTTTAAGTTTAAATTTTGTTTTCGTTATATTTTAATACGTACGGATGTATTTCTGTTGTGCGGAAACTTACATGTGTAATTATTTACCTGATATGTTTTGTGTAGAAATTTACTCAACTTCAAACATTCCGGTCTCTATATACAGTCATTAATTTTTGAATCAAGTATTTACAATAAATTAGTTTTGAGTAAAAATTCCAGTTATTCTTAAATCTTCTTTTTTTTAAAGTTATTGGAATATTTTTCTTTAGACCACCTTTCTCCTCCCCTAAAGTACGAACCAAATCCTATTTTGTATCAGAAACAAAACTCATAGTTGTTGATCTAAACATTATTAATGCTCCAAAAAGTTATGTGATGATAGACCAAAAACGAAAAAAAAAACAATGTCATAAAATATATAAAATACCCAGTGATTGTATTTAATTATACAGAAATACAGAATTCATACATCTTATGAATTTGGAACATTATAAACATTAAATACCAGCAACCCATTGTTCATTCGTTATTATAGGTTATTCTTATTTAAATTAAATGCTGTTATACATATCAAGTTGAATTTATAGAAAAAGGTTTTATACGGCAGTAAAACATGTACGTATCTACTTAGTACTGGATGCATTTAAAAAATATTATCTATTGTTTGTAATACTTACCATATGAAGTACAAGTTTTGTCAAATTCAACATTTTTTATGAAAAAAATGTAATTATTTAACTATGAATGAATGCGAGTAACTAAAAATCGAAAGCCGCTGATCTAACTAATTTTTGTTTGTTAGTGAATAATAATAAGTAACAACTAATAGGAAACCAAATAAATAATATGACAAATCAAGATAAGATGAATATAAACATGACGTATTGTTTATAATTATTTAGATTAGGGAATAAGGTACAAAAAACATACCTAATGGTTCTGATTTAGTAAATGTCTCAAACTAATTAAAGTTATAAACATGTCAAAGTGCACAAAAAAAAAATACCTTATAATTTATTATTTATTTAGTAAAGACTGGATTATGTAATTATTACATAATTTTAAAGAATAGATCCTTATTACCTAATTTTTTTTATTGAAAACATTAAACAATATTATAGAATTTTTTTTTTTTATTAATTGTTTATGGCATCAACTGCGTGGTTATTAGCCAGGGGGGTTTTGGGACTGTTGGGTTCGGAACACGTGTGTGTATTATAAAATTATAATACATGATTGTTAAAAATCAGAAAAATAAGAATTAACACTAGAAATTCAGTAATATATAGCGGTTAAACTAAAATTTAGTTTACCACTTTATCTTCTTTATTCTTAAGAGGACGTTATACCCGCATATTGTGTTGTCTCCATCTTACAAGAGCGTAACATAACAAATTTTACGTTCAACAAATCGCGCTTAGCTCTGTTAGCTTGAAAATTAGAGTGAATTGTCCTCTTATTGAAATTAAAGGTAAGAGCATTACGGAAGGCTTCCCATGGGCTTTTTATTATATTTTAATTTTAAAGAGAGTTATGACTTTATGAGTATTTTAAGTTGTACAACCAATTTACAATTTTAAAATACTCATAATTTACTTTAAAATTAAAATATAATAAAAAGTATTTAGTTGATATTTTTTTTGTTTTTTGTTACACCGAACATCAAAATCTATTTTGTCAAAAACTGGTTTTACTTAGGAATCACCATTTTCATTAACATTTTGTTTTTGTTTTTTCCACGTTCCTGAAAATTATTGGAAAATTTTTACTTTTCATCCCCCAAAATTTCAACTAGATTAACTTTCCTACGAGAAAAGAAGCTGAAGACCTGAATAAGAAAATCGAAGTATTTACTGCCTCAAAAGGTGATGACAGACACAAAGAAATCAATACGTTCTTCGCTTTGCTCAGAATCTAAAATTTAGTAGGCTCTGGACAATATAAGGTAATTTCAGTTTTTGATTTGGAGGGATCTACATATTAAAACAAACTATACATGTTATCAGTAAAGTCTTGTGGTTAGTAATTTGAAATACTGTTATTTAACCTATATGACAACATAATGTTCTGTGGGATGGGTCCGATATCTATTATGGAAACCACACAAATGATGAATCGCTGTCCAAAGATTAAAAAATAACAAAGTTTACTGAATTATGTAGATTAGAAAACTAATTTAGGATTTAATACTTCAATTAAATACAAATATTTGAGTGGTTAAGAACCTGTGAGAGTCCTGTGCTCTAAACTCGAACTGTGTTCTTAGAATTGATTGGATTGCATAAACTATATTATACTTATATTATTTAACTAGACCCCCCCCCCCCACAGGTATAGCATTGATTGGATGGTAATGTTGTACGATTGATAAGATAACAATTAAAGGAATAACTTATATTTACATGAACGACAAAGTTAAATGTTGTTCATTGGTTTCAATAATACGCTATTAATTTTGATGTTAGAGTGAATCGACCTATTATCAAATACTTAGGTAAGAAAATTATCTGTGATCAAGCATCGGAGAATTTTTTCGATACTTGAATATCACAAATTAAAAATTCTCACATCCCGTTTGAAAATTACAATATTGATTAAAAATCCAATTTTTTAACACAGGGAATGTTTTTCCACAAAAGTTTTTACGAGTCAATTCACTCTTTTATCAAAATCAACAGCACAATATTGAAACTAGTAAACATTTTGTTTTAAGATGGAGACAAAAACAGCATAGATCCTTTTAATAATTTAATAAATAAGATTAAAAAGGAATATGACTGTACAAGGCATAGACAAGAAATAAAACAATATTGACAATATAAAATAAAATTTAATATCAATATATATATATTTTTTTTGGTAATTTTAATAAAAATAATAATACGTATAAACTTTAAAAAATATATAGTTTTAACAGTCTAAATATATCAGAAAATAACTTAGGCTATTTAATTTAGCCTAATCTCATTAAGGTATTGTTTTTTAATAGTATTATATAAATGTTATAAAAATAATGAACATATTAGGTAATTAAACATTTTAAATTGTATATAAATATAATAAATAAAATAATAATTATAATTTGACTATGTTATAAGTAAACATAATCAAAATAATGCATAAATATTTGTAATGAGATTGTCTTATATTAAAAATGGATAACAAGATTACAAGAATAATTCAATTGGAGGTCGCATAAGCCAAAATATTAATAATTATATAATAAATCATAAACAAATGTATAGTATATGTATACACACATATTAAAATTCAATGAAAAACATAAATTCACCTAAAAATCATAACAAATTTGTATAAACATTTTACAAAATAGTTTTGGTTTAATTTCCTTAAAAAATGTAATATTGGGCAACTGACTTAATAGTTAGAGAATTAACAGTTTTAATAAAAAAAAGCTACATTTTATATAAACAATAAGAAAATCACCAACATTACTTGAAGTTTTATATCAATTTATAAAAATGTACATACATTTAGTCTTCAATAAAAATTTTAAATAGTTGAATGTAGCTGTTAGTTTAGATATATTACACACTGCTCTGAGTAATATAGGTTTTATGTCAGTTAAGTTACAGAAAATTATGTTTTAAATTAAGATTCCTTAAGTCACACACAAATATCAAATATTAGAACAAAATTTGGATTATAAGCCTATATGATTAGACCCACATAAAATGGCAAACCCTTAACAAATTACTGAATTTGTTGTTGTGCATGTAGTATCTAATATATCGTTTAACACAAACATGTAAATGAACCAGTTCATAAAGATATGTAAATTCATAATGTACTGACAATTTTTAATTTCTATAACAACTTGTTTAATATGCATACTTCAAGACCTGTTAATTGATTTTATTGTCTAATAAAAAAATACCCAGTTATATTAAAATGTTGAATATCATTTATACATAAATAATTGACAATATTTAATGAATATTTCTCTTTTCAGATACTCCAAGTTTTAAGAATTAGATGACAAATTAACAAAATAATTTAAAGAGTATGGTGACAATTTTTTTTTTCTTGATTGTTATGTTTTATATACTTTGGGTAAATTAAATTTTTGTTCTTAGATTAAATGGGTAATTTAAAATAATTAATGATGATATGCACTTTAGAATTATTAAATATGAACTAAGTCCAAACTTTTTAAGTATTAAAGAAAAATGGAAAAAATATTGGTTTTTAATAAGTGTTTATGTATTATTCATAAATTATAGTAAATAATTTAACACAAAGATAATATTAATGTATGAATATAATTTTGTATAGTTTCAACATGAAAGACCTGAGTTTTATAATAACTACAAATGAAAGCTCTAATTGATCTAAGATATGTAAAAGTCAAGAGCCAATAGCCGCTCAATTATTGCTTAAACTTATTTTAAAATATGTGACAAGTTAAGCATTTTGTGATCATAATTAAGCACCCTAAAAACATTTAATTTACCATGTTTTGTCTACCGAATCGTCTTTCTTGCTCAGCACGTTTCCTAGTCATTGACAAAGCAGCAGTTTTCAAAAAATCTACAGTTTTGTATGGGTATGCACCATCAATCATTGAATAGTCATGCATTACCAAAGTGAATTGACTGCCTACATTACATGGTTTTTTCTTGGTAGTTGCTTTCGCATTTGTTCTATTACCTACTGTATATTGTTTGTCACAAGATTCAAATTCTAGATCTAAATATTGAATATCATTGAAACGACTTGCTTCAGCTAGATATCGTGAGTTTGATGAAATCTTGTTGATTTGATATGAGGATACCTAAAAGTCATAAATAAAATATTAACATCGAACAATAAAAAAATCGCTGAAAATAATTAATTATAATTGTTATAAATAATTGTTGCTATGTCTAGTTATATTTAGTCAAGAGAACAAAGACTGATGGCCAACTTTCAGCTTTTCCTTAATGGAATGATTTCAAAAGTGCAATCAGAAGTAGAGGGCCAGATTTAGTTTGGATTTTATAGCAATTTGTGGTTTTATACATACACCTTAATGTTGTGCCAGGACAAAACAATTATTGCTATTGTTTATCTGCCCAAGCTCTCAATATGTCTACTAGCTCTGACTGGAGATAATAAACTAGGTCTTTTAAAAGTTACTATGCAAAGTTCAGTTAACTATAATTCCTAAACTACATTGATCAAAATTTAACAATTTCGGATTATGATTCTAAAATCAAATTATTTAAATATAAGTTTCAAAAAAAATTTAAAAAAGAAGGTTCTACTAAAATTGCATTTATATTTTTTATTGATTATGCTTTATTTTACCATTTAAGAATACAAAATCTTAAATAATCAACTTGTGTTTATTGCATAAGGAAATAAAAATATTACTTTGTCTGAAGCTAGTCGATCATCAGATGCTGAATGCCGCCTATGGATTCGAGGTTCAAAACTTGTAGGAACATTGGGTCCTATACGAGATTTTTGACGGCTCAAACTACCCATTGGTGGTGGACATAATCTTAGAGTACTAGTCGTATCTAAAAAATAATTTATGTAATGCATATATGTATAAATATATAAAAATATGTATATTTACCATAAAAGGAATCTTGGTTTTTTTTAATTTGAGTAGGTTTTAGCCTTCGGTTTACAATTGGTGGATTAGCTAATGGAGTCAACGGCGAGAGTTCAGCAGAAGTATCGGAAAACTTTCTGCCTGGCTTTAATTGACGATTAACAGCAGGAGGGGTTTGTTCTAATGAAG